TGTAATCAACAAGGTGACATACAAGCTATGCCTTGGCCCAGTGCCCGTTTCTGGGATACAAAGATTTGTACACTGTAACTTCTTTTCCTTGAGGAGCTCACAGGCCACGTGCAAGATAGGAATGTAAATAATCAGAGATGATGGGGTGTGTCTAAAGCACAGCCAGAGTGTAGGGTGAGTCACGGTTTTGGGGAGTCAGGGAACATTACAAAAGAAATGACATTGGAGCTGTCTCAAACGATGAGCAATTGCTCCACACACAGAGAAGAGATGGAAGACCATTTCAGAAAGAGGAAACATTTACAAAGGCCGCCATTGTGAATATCAAGGCACGGGTGGACAAAAACCACTAGGTATGGCTTCTTTTGATGTTGTGTGGGGAGCAAAAGATTGGGGCCAGCTTTTGGGAGGTTGAAGATCCCTCTTGTGGCTATTTTGGAAGTTACGTGGAAGGAGGAAAGACAAGAGGCAAAGAGTGAGGAGGCTATGGCCCCAGTCCGTTTAGGAGATCATGAAGATGAGATACAGCACGGGCAGTGGGTGTGGACAGTATGGGATGTGTTTGGGAGCAATCATGAAGTGGAATGAACAGTGTGTGGGATTACATGATGGACTAAGGCAGGAGGAAGGTCAAGGGTGAGTCCCAGGTGTCTAAATTAAGAAATGGTACAGATGAGCCATTTTCTGACATGGGACCTTGGGAGGAAGCTTTATAAAGGGAGATAATGATTTATTTTGGGCCACATTGAGTTGGTGAATCCCAGCAGCAAAAAGCCTAAAAACGTATGTAGGCTCAGAGATTAGAAGGTCACACTCAATCGTATCTAAAGGAACAATTTTGTTTGAAGATATGTCCAAATAAGGAATGCCCTTTTTAAGTTTTAAATCTCACTGGAGAAAGAAAATAATATACCATATTTATCCCTGCCTTTAGGTAATCTCAGGACTAATTCCATCTTTAACCAATGACAACTTTCCAAATTAGGAACTTTCACATCAAAGAAGAAAGAATGCCAGGAGCTAGATGTTTTATTATTTTGGCTTAGTGACAAGGCTCTAAAATCATATTGTTGAAGACTCCAATACCTAGCCTCATTGTCATCTGTAAAATTGCCCTCTTCCACCCTTATTCCACTTCTCTTTATAAGAAGAAACAAGCAGAAAGTAACAAGAATTGCAGCTCTCTCTGGTCTCTGGGTTGAACAATATCAGCTCATTCTCCAGTGGTTTAAGATGTGTGAACCAAGCCCAATGTCTGCCATCCTTTCACTCATCTCTCCATCCATTAACCCACAGACTCCTATTAAGTCAGGAATCTAGAGATACCAAGACGAATACGATAGAGAGTCCTCCTTCAAGAAGCGCGCATGCTATCAAGAGACGAGTGGGAGAGATACAGCCATTCGGATTCAATAATTCACGTTCTGGTGTGGCCAGCTGGTCTCCGTTCCCAGCTTTCCTAGCTCACTGCTTTCATAACTGCCTTCTAGGCCAACACCAAGCCCCGGTGCTAGCCAAGTTCAGAGCACCTTGGCAAATTGTGTGATCAGAGAAAAAACGTCTTTGTTGTAATGGAAGGAGCCCTCCCCTGGGACTAGAACTACCTGGGATCTGGTACCTCCAAAGCAGTCATCAGCTTTTGGTCTCCAGAAGGTTTTTCTTTCTCTGGGTCCTTATCTGTAGAGTGACAGAGCAGGACCAGATAATTCCTGGTGGTCCTTGTTGATCTGACATTCTGAAAGTCTCTGATGCTACTCAAGTTTGAATGGTATCTGGAGCCCTGCTGGGAATGAGTGATGGGATCCAGAATTCAGACTCTGAATTGAGGTTGATCTGGACAGACTTCCCCATGGGAGGGATTTCATAGGGATGATTGGCACGTGCACCATAGGCCCCAAAACACTCTCACACCCGTTATCTGATTCTATCTTCAGTGAGAACCTGGTGGAGTATTTTCTTCCCCTGTCTTCTTATGAGGAAACGAAAGCCCAGAGTGCTAAATGGTTAATTAAATGCTAAGTACTTTAGATTGGTTATCATTTAATTCACGCAATAATCCTATGACTTTTCTAATTCTTCTTTCTTTCTCTTCTTCTTTCTTCTTCCTCCTTCTCCTTTTTCTCTTTTCTGTTTTATAGACAAGAAATCTGAGCTCCTGGAGGTTAAGCCACTTTCACCGCACTGGAAAGTACTAGGGCTCAGATTCAACCCAGACCTGTCTAAATCTACAGTCTCTGCTCACAGCCTCGGTCAGAATCTTAAGTGCCTCCAGGGGCTGGACGGTTTCATAAGCAAGTGAAACGATCTAGGCCGAAAGATTGTTTCACTTCCCTTTTCATTTCAGCAAAGAAAAACAAGAACACAGGTAAAATAATAAAAGGAAGCTTATCTTTTGCTTTGCATTGTGGATATAGTAAAGAATGATGGAAAACCATAGAGCATAAAAATATACGCCCTATCTAAAAGGAGCAGGTGTGCCAATCAGGTTGAGGTATGGGATGGTTTGCCTATGCCAGGTCTCTGGATCTTAGAAGAAAGCTGGAATCTGTAATCTTAAGAAGAATCTCTCTCTTTCTCAATATTAATGATTACTTACAAAATGATGCAAGTAAAAGGATGCAGGCAAAAGATAAGACGCTATCCCATCTTGACGGTATCTGGCTCACAGGATGCCGGTTCATTATCTCTTTCCTGCAGGTGCTGCTGTCTTGAAGGAAGACTCCATGGTGTAGCTACACCTGCAGTGAAACCTTCAGGTTATCCCACGCGGGACTGGGTAGGCAGCCATCTGTCCAGCTGCAGACAGCCGTCCATCCAACTGCACCTGCTGCTTGGTCCGCAGTTACCCTGAGTGGATGCTGGATATTCTGAATATCATTCTCGACTGGATGCCTTTGTATAAAATAGTTGCCTTGACCCTCACAATAACTCAGCAAAGAAGATTTAATGACCTCCATTTTGTAGATGAGTAAATGATTACTTACATCAGCTATCGAGGTCACACAGCTGTAAGTAGCCAACCTGGGATGTTAGGCTCAGCTCTGACCCAATGTTCTCTTTGCTCTGTAGAGTTACCCCTATCTTTGAGGTGATTTTAACTGCTTCCAGATAGGGAACTTTCCCATTTTTCTATCTATCTGGTGAGAATCTCAGACAAGGAATAAGATAGGGGCCTGGCATCATCTTTCGGGAGAAAAGATACCTTTGTCACCCCTCATCAGTCCCACCACCAGATCTCCTAAGGGTGGAGAAGAAACTGACCGGGCGAAAAAGGAGAAAGACACAGAATCTGCTCCTTCATAGTCCAGAAGCTTCGGCGCTGAGGTGAGACACTCCCACACTCTGTGGGTGACTGCAAGGACAGGCACACAGGGAGGGGACAGGCTGCTGGAATGTCAGCCTGGCTGATGAGACAGGCACATGCCAATCTGTTGTCTCACGGCCTAAGCCATACCCAAACCCTTCATATAAAAACAGCCCTCTGTCCAGATGCCTCAGCCTAGATGACAGTTCGCCTCAAAGAAGGTGAGTCTGGGGGCTGGGTCCTGGGATTGGGGTGGAGATGGTACTTAGTGGGGGCTCAGAATCACGGTGGGGGGAGGCATTGTGAGGGGAAATCTGGGAGACTGAGGAGAAAAAAAAAAGTATGGTAGAATTTTCGGGGACATGAGTCAAATACCTGTGGGGTCTGTGTGAAGAACTGAGGCACCAAAATCAGTGTATTTTCCCGCAACAGCCCCCACCTCTCCCTCAGGTACCATTTTTCCTCATCGGGCCCTTTCTCCCTGGGAAAGACACCTTAGTAATTTACGGCTTGTGAACACACTTGGGTGGAGGAGGGTTCCGTCCTCAAGGGCATGTGCATTTAGATATTTTTTCTAAGTGGAGATTGGAAGGTTTTGCCCTCAGGAGATGCGTTTTCAGAATTTCAGGAGCATTCTCGAGAAGCATTTTGCTGGATGAGCTGGTTGACCAATCAGCCCCTTTGCTGTGCTGGTCACTCAGCTGCCTGGACATGAACAGGCGGATGTGGGGAGGGCAGGTGGTGGTGGGGGGTGCCCTCTGTGTCTCCCTGATGGGGTGTGGTATAGGAGTCGCGCCCCCCACGTCATGTCTGTAATGCTTCTTCTGCATAGGCTTGAAGTGGCTGAATACCAGTCATGCAGTTAGGTTGCTGGACCTTTCTGGGCTATTCCTTCTGAGGTTAGTCCACCCCGCCTCCCAGAGGCGCTGGCGAGAAAAGCTTTTTGAAGCTCGCAGGCGATGAAGGAGCAAGTTGCCGTGTGGGTCCTGAGCCTTTCCGAGGCTGATGTTTTGTATGTGCGTGTTTCGCACAGGTCCACGAGAGCCTGTTTAAACAAACTTGCCTAAAGTGATTGCGTGTGGAGAAACAAACACTTTATGTTGGGTTTGAGCTGCCAGTAACTGACTTGATCCTTTACTCTCCAGGGGATGCTTTGAGCACAGATGGGGCTTAAGTGCTTGTTCCCATACGTGCATTTTTACATGTTTGCACACATGTGTGTGTTGCCAGTAAATGTGGGTGAGGAAACCCAAGCTCCTGTGGGTGTGGAGGCCCCCCTTTGCTACAGCCTTGGGTACACGGGTTTCCTCTCCTTCTGTAGCGCTCCCTCCCGCCACCTAGGCCCCCAGAAGTGATGGCAATTGTCTTGTCATCAGCACCCTCTTGTGCTGGACACTGGTGTGCCCACCCTCCAGGAGAGGCCTGGACACCTGCAGCCCTGGCTGTGCCCTTGGCACGACCTCAGATAGGACCTCCATCAGGTTGTTTGGTAGCTCCAAGGCAGGTCTCCTGGGCCATTGTGACTAACCTTGGGTCCAGCCAGCTTGGTAAGGATTCTTGGGTGAAGGTAAAGGATGGGGGAGGAGAGGGCAAGGAAGAAGCAGGGTGTCTTCCGCTTGAGCCCGGTCCCTCCTCCCCACCCTCCTAACCCTGACTTTCTACCCTCAGGCTCTGCTCACCCGTCTGCATTGGAACCATGTGTGACCAGCAGCCTCTCCAGTATTGCCTGCCACCCCCCCAGTGCTGTGTGAAGGGGTCCTCTTTCTTCCCCTCCCCCTCTCCCTGTGCTCCAAGCCAGGTGGTGGTCCCTTGTGAGATGCAAATTGTGGAGTGCCCTGCACCATGCCCAGTGCAAGTTCCCCAGGTGGCGTGCCAGGCTCCCTGCCAGTCCCAGACCACGGCAGTGAAATGCCAGGCCCCATGCAAGTCTAAAACCACCAAGGTGAAGTCCCAGGCTCCGTGCCAATCCCAGCCCACGCTGGTGACTGGCCAGGCTCCGTGCCAGACTCTGTGCCAGGCTCCGGGCCAGGCTCCGGGCCAGGCTCCGGGCCAGGCTCCGGGCCAGTCTGAGGTTTGCTACGTGCAGTATGGAGCCCCCGGCCCTGTTCAGACCTGTTATGTAGACTGTGCTCCCGTGTATTACACAGAAACTTGCTATATGGAATACCCAGTCCAGACCTATGTACCCTGTCCAGCTCCCCAGCCCATCCAGACGTATGTACCGTGTCCCCCAGCGTGCCAGACTCAGCGAGGATTCTCCACTCAGGGCCAATATCAGGGCTCCTTCAGCGGCTGTGCCCCCCAGCGTCAGTCTCGGGCTTCCGTTAGGCCTTATGCACCCCAGTGCCAGCCCCAGGGCTCTTACGGGAGCTTTCCCGCGCAGCAGCGTCGCTCTCAGAGCACCAGCAGATGCCTCCCCCCTCGCCAGCAGCAGCCCGCCTACCGCAGCTGTTCCCCACCGCGACGTTCTGAGCCCTCCTACAGCAGCTGCGTGCCATCAGGGTGCGCTCCCGGCTCCTCCAACTACTGCACCCCGCCCCGCCGCTCCGACCCCATCTACCACAGTGGCTCTTCTAGGGCTCCCACCGCAAGCTGCCCTCAGAGAAGTGGACCTAAGTGCCGCATAGAGATTTCCTCGCCTTGCTGCCCCAAGCAGGTCCCCCCGCAGAGGTGTCCGGTTCAGATTCCTCCCATCAGAGGCCGCTTCGAGAGCTGTGCTCCACAATCTTCCTGCGGTGCCTCCTGCCCGGACCTGAGACGGTGTGCTGACCCACGTCCACCCCGTCCACCCCGGCGATTTGACCAATGTCCTGAGCCATCACTGCCGCGATGTCCGCTTCCGGCCCCACGTCCATTTCCGCGCCCAGAACGATGCCCAAGCCCAGAGCCCCGCCGGTGTCCACCACCAAGGCAACTTTCGGAACCCTGTCTGTTTCCGGAACCGTGTGCGGACCCACGTCCAGCCCCGCGTTCTCGCCCAGCGCAGCGTGAGTTTCCGGAGCCACGTCCACAACCACAGCCCCGCGAGCGCCCAGAGCCTTGTCCCCTTCCAGAGCCAATTCCCCTCCCAGCACCCTGCTCAAGCCCAGAGCCACATGTCCAGCCTCGGCGCTGTCCCAGCCCATGCTCAGGCCCAAATCCAATTCCAAGGTCAGGAAACCTAGGGTGTCAGGAGTCCCGTCCATACCACCTGGACATAGAGGCTCCCAGCTGTGGACCAGCTGGTTATAACCAGTGTGGTGAGAGTGGTGCTAGCTACAGACCTTGTGATGTGTTCCCAGAGCCACAGGGTCTGGGAGGTTATGGAAGTAAAGGAGGCACCGGTGGCGCTGGAGTGAAAGGTGGAGCCTATGCTGGCGCTGGAGTGAAAGGGGGAGCCTATGCTGGCGCTGGAGTGAAAGGTGGAGCCTATGCTGGGGCAAAGGGTGCCTATGCTGGGGCAAAGGGTGCCTATTTTTAAAGGAAGCCTGGCTGAAGTGTGTGCCCTGAAAATGTCATGCCTGCATCCTGCCCTGAAAATGTTGCTCCTCCTTTCCCAGCAGCCACAATTTCTGTGTGCTTGTTTGCATCTCTCCAAAGACATTCAGAGGCTCACTGCTGCAGAGGTGATGTCCAAAGTCCTTTGCCTGTCATCACAGGCCGCACACCTGGGTCTCAGACACCTCTCCGGCCTCACGCCTGGCCCCTCCCATGTACATATCCTCAGTTCTAGCCAGACCAGTCTGGCCACCAGGGCACAGCCTGGGTGTTCCCTAGGACATACCTTAGAGGTCCCTGCCTCCCAGCCTCTGTCCACCCACCACCCCCTCCCTACCCCCATTCCTGGACCACTTCTCTGCTCCTCCCAGTATCTGAAACTCAACCCATCTTTCAAGACCTCTTCCTTGGAGTCTTTTCTGCTTGCTCCTACCCACAGAGGCCTGTGCTGATGTCCTAGCACTCATTGCATTGTCCACACCATCCATATGGCAACTGCCTTGCAATACCTCTTGAATTAGTTCACTTTTCAGGTGTGTCTGTCTTACCTGCCCAACTAGGTTGGAAACTCCCATTTGAGTGGAGTCAGAATATCCCTCAAGTCCCATGCTTCTCCTGCGGAAGACGGCTGCTCAGCAGGGCTTATAGGTTGGCAGCATGAGCTATGATCTGTCCTGATGGGCAACCCAAGACGGAGACAAGAGGGGACCATGTAACAATAAAAATGATGCTACACTCAGAGCTTGAGTCCTGCGTAACGCCTGTTTATTACTCCTTCCTGACTCTTTTATTTTCTCATTATTTTTCTTCTTGGGTTTATCATACGCATAGCTGAACTTTCTTTACACTAGACCGGGTGGGCTGTCTTGTGGGTTTTCTGTCTCCCCTCAGCGTCCTTGGCTGCTGAGGGGAGACAGAAAACCCACAAGGCAGATTATATATATATATATATAATGTGGAGGTTAGGAGTCATCAACCCCTTGTAGTCAAAAACCTGCATACAACTTTTGACTCCCCCAAACTTAACTACTATTAGCCTACTGTTTACCCGGAAGCCTTACCGATCACATAAACAGTCGATTAACGCATATTGTATATGTTATATGTATTACACACTGTGTTCTTCCAATAAAGTAAGCTAGAGAAAATGTTATTAAGGAAATCACATGGAAGAGACAATAAATTTACAGAACTTATTGAAAAAAATCTGCATATACGAGTAAGTGGACCCACACAGTTCAAACACATGTTGTTCAAGGTCAACTATAAAAATAAATAAATACATAAATAAATAAATACACACATATGCGTACACACACACACACACACACACACACAATTATATACATCCTCTAATGTCCGTAAGAGCCCATCACACAGGCATTATTATCTTGCCATTTGCACAGTTGGAAACCTAAGCACACAGGATAGACGTGACTGGTCAAAGCCACACGGGCAGACTGGATTCCAAGCCCACAGCCTTTTCTGTTACACGCGGCACCTTGCATCCGAGTCACGGTCTCTGCCTCTTCCAGAGACCCACCCACTCATTTCCCCAGTTATTCCCTGCAGGTCCACATTTGCCTCCTCTCTTAGAACCCAGGCTGCTCTGTGACACATGCCCCCAGGGCCTGGCAGGGTCTGAATGGCTCCCACGGGGCAATTCCTAGGTCTCCATTGCCCGGGCCCCTGGGTGGGGGTGTGGGGAACAGGATGGCGGGAAGCTTGGAAGCCCCAGATAGGGGATTCTCCTTAGCTCTCGCCCCTGTTCTCTCAAACACACCCCTGGACCGGAGGGTTGGGGGTCAGTGGGGAGCAGCCCATCCCCTCAAGGTACAGAAGAAACACAGGACTAGCCAGGGAGGAGGGTATTCACACCTAAGAAGCCATCCCTGTCCCCAGGGGCAGGTAACAGGTCACCACACAGGCTCTTCACTGTAATGATCCCGTGACCTGCACTGTCCTCTGGGGATAGACTCTGGTCCCCAGGTTAACTAGGCCTGGGTATGGAAAGGAGTATGGAGGGGTCTCTGGGGGAGTCAGGCTGTGGCTGAGCCAGGGAACCCCCGAGGGCTGTACAGGAGGCAGCCACAGGGCCAGCTCTGCAGCAGAGGAGCTCAGGGCCCACATTCCTCTCTCCTGGGCATGCGTCTGCGTTGGCCTCAGGTCCCCCACTTCCCCTGACAGGATGCCCAGCCTTGAGCCTCCAGGCAGGCCCACAGCCCACAGCCCACAGCTCAGAGGAAAGGGGTCCCCAGGAGTGTGTGTCTGCCTGTCCTTCTGTGGGGTCGCATGTTTCTTTGTGTGTGACGATGTGTCTGTTTCTTCTGTCTGTCTGTTTTCAAAGCTCAGGGGTTTAAAATGCACTTGGCAATGAGGACGGTGACCTCAGGATCATGGTGTAGGATATCCTACAGCCCTTCAGCGCTGGCTTTAGTGGCCCTTCCCAGTCACCCCGCCTGCTCCCCACCATCCACCCTTTCACTGATGACCTGTCTCCAGCTCTCTGCCTTTCCTATGTCACCCATTTGAATAAAAATTAAAGGATCCCTAGGACCAGGGCTGAGGATTTGAATTTCAGATAAAAAAAGATTCCTCTTTGTTGAGCACTAGGCTAAGGTGAAATTACCTGGGAACCCACCTACAGCATAGGGAATAGTCAATGGTATTGTAACAGCTACATACGATGTCAGAGGGGTAGTAGATTGGGGGGGGGTGATTATCACTTTGTGAGGGGCGTAAATGTCTAACTATCACATTGCTTTGTACACCTGAAACAAATAAAAATTTTTTAAAAATAAACTGATTCATTGATTCATTGATTAATTTACACTTAGAATATACCTTAGAATGGCTTATAGTAGCACAGCCTGAAAAGAAACAGCTATATTTTTTCTATAAATTAAATAAATTTGTATAAGTTGAAGGGAAAAAAAACAAAAAAGACATGGAGTCCGAGGAGCCATCCAGACCTACTTAACCGGAATTTCCAGAGACAGAATCTGGGACCTCCGCTGACAATGAGTGTGGTCAGTTGGGGGTGGGAACCATCGCTACAGTGAACACCCAGGGGCATGAGCTTGTTCAAGACGCACAAGGAGAGGTGACACTTGTAATGGTGGCCGCAGCATGAGTAGGAGGTAGTGGCAGGCTGGAGCTGACCATGAACTGTTCCTGTGGGAGGTTTTATGTAACCACCCTGTGTGTGGAGTCAAATTTTCTACTCTTCAATCTGGAGGCCCCTCAAGACCAAGGAGAGTGTCTTCCTGTTTCTCAGTAAAATCCCCAACCCCGCTGCCACCAACAGTGCCCAGGATGGGGCTCTTGTGTGGGGCTGAGGGAGAGGGGTTGTCTGGTATATTTTACTGGGAGGTGGGAGGGCCTAGCTTTGGCATATCTCTCCTTTACCGAGGCATTACCCAAACATTAAGAGGGAGAAATTCCACAGCCCGTACTTTGTCCTACAGATTAGAATAGTCCTGGATGAATAACCAAATAGAACTGTCATGCATAAGGGACTAGTTCAGCTGTTAATCACGGTGTAGATAGGTGGATAGTAGTAATCAGAAGATAGGCAGTTCCCATGTAGATACTTTAGTGACGTGTAGGAGAATAGCCAGGGGGTGACCAAGACTTCAAATGAGACTAGCGTACTCCTGGTTTCTGGCATGTTGGACATTCCGGAGGCTCCCCAGGCCTGTGGCCTGAAACTAGTTAGGAAGACAGGGTGACACGTGGTGATCCACGTGCTTCCCCATCACCAGGGGCCATCAGACTCATTCCTCCAAAAGATGAAGCTTCCTGACCTGGACGACTAAACTAGAGGTATCTAGAAGTCTAGGAATAACCCAAGCTGCACCAAAGCCACCCATCACGTTCCTCACCACACCTTGTCCTAGGAGCCCTGAGCTGGGTTAACACCTTCCCTCTGTTCTCTAGGGTTGTATCTGTCAGGAAGAAGACCACTTACCGACTTGTATCAACACATCCATGTATTTGACAAGTATTTGTTGCGACTCGGCTACCTGCCAGGAGCTGTGCTTGGGCCCGGAAGCACACTGGTGGCAGCCTTGCTCACACGAAGCATGAGAGATGTTTGTGAGAGGTTGCACGTGGGAGGCAGGGTACCATGGAAGCCCACAGGAGGAGCAATTGAGTGGGTCAAAGGCAACTATTGGGTTATCGGAAAAGTCATGACGTATTTTTACTGTTTTTCATTGCAAAAATGCGTCATGACTTTTCCGACAACCCAATATCATCAGAGATATGAAAGATAAGTGGGAATCAGCTAACGAATGGAGGAAAGTGAGTGTTCCTGGTAGAGATGACAGCAGGTATGCTGTTAGCATAATGGCAGGCAGCCCAAGGAGGGAGATGTCCTCCTTATCTCACCATCCTTCCTGGTTCCTATCCCTGGTGTGGTCCCAGGAACCCATCCTCATTGTGCTCTGACAAACTTCTTATCAACATCTTAGAGGAAGACTGGATAAGAAACTGACCTAAATTTCAGGGGACCTCCAGTTATGAGGGAAAACTGAAGAGCAGACATCTGATTCAACATGAGTTGGAATGCCGGGCTTCATCTGACAAGATTAAATGCACTTAAGATAAATGTGAAGTTCTGAGTTTAACTTAAAGATCAGATGTGCTTGTCGAAGACGGGTAGGGTATACAGATAGCTGCACCTGTGGAGAAAGCTTCGTTGATTGAAATGAGTCAAGGCTGGGATTGTCTGTAGCAAATGGTAGGGAACTCTTGGTCTTAATGGGCATGGCAGTCTGCTCTCCTTGGCTCACACTGTGCCCGGGGCAGCGTGCTCAGCTCGGGTCAATTGGGACTGAGACTGGAGGGTGAAGACCTGTTTTGTGCCCCCCACCACTTGAGGCAGGAACCGTACATCCTTCCTCATGCTCTCAGCTTGAGAAGGCGCTATTATTGGTCCCTATTTACATATAGCCACACAAAAATCAGGCTCGGTTAACG